GTTTTGTTCTACATTGTTCTGCCACTCTATCCCCCTCTCCTACATAGATCCCCCTCTGCCACTTGCAAGCTTTTAAGACCCCAGTCCACCAAGGTAGGATATAGAACAATATTTTGGCACATTTATGTTGTACCAGGTGAGCTTGATGTCCCCCACAACCATGTTCCCAAGCCTACAGGCCCATTATTTCTTGAATCTGCCCTCTCTCACCTTACCTGGAAATGACCCAGGCATAGGAAGTACATCTAGTTGTCCTATGATACTCTTAGGATGCAAACGTCTTCATGCACTGAGGGAGGCACCTGATTAGGCTGGATGCAATAAGCTGCCGACAAACTGGGTAATTTGACTTTATATAATGCTGTAGTCTTCAAGAGTCATGTCTGTATTTGGTCTTCCCAGGCCTCATGGACACTCAACACAGGCCCCAGTGAGAGCTTATGGAATGCCCTTGCCTTTGTTGCCTCTACCAGCCCATAGAACTTTCTTCCCCTTTCTGCTTTATTTTTCAGCAGACAGTAAGACACCTGTCATTGCCACATCACACCTGGGCCGATCATCTTCCCTGTCCTGGTTGTGAGGAAGAGAACATTTTGTCATCTTCCATCTCTTGTGTCTTTACTAATCTTTCGAGACTCATGGCAATGATCTAGTTTCTTCTTTCCTCCCAGATCCTGTCCTCTTCTCAGTTCTTGCTCTAAGTCCCAGGATAGTCACTGGAGGTAGATGGTAGGAAGTACAGGAGTATTCTTTCCTTTATTATTATTGTTTTGTTAGGTGTCGCTGAGTCTGACTCATAGTGAGCCTAGGTACAACAGAAAGAAACGCAGCCTGGTCCTGTGCCATCCTCACAATACTTGCTGTGCTTGAGCCCATCATTGCAGCCACAGTGTCAATCCATCCCACTGGGGGACTGCACCTTTTCCTCTGACCTTCCTCTTTACCAAGTATGATATCCTTCTCCGGGGACTGGTCCCTTCTGACCACATGACCAAAGTAAGCAAGTTGAAGACGGGCCATTCTTGCTTCTAAGGGGTATTCCAGCCACAGTTGTTCCAGGATAGATTTTTTTTTTTTTCATTTTTCTGTCAGTCCAGGTATTTTTCTATTCTTTGCCAACACCAAAATTCAAATGCATCAATTCATCTTCAGTCTTCCTTATTCATTGTGCAGCTTTCACATGCATATGAGGTGATTGAAAATGTCATGGCTTGGGTTAGGCACACCTTAGGTCTTCTGAGTAACATCTTTGCTTTTCATCACTTTTGAACATATTTGCCCAGTGAGATCTTCATTGAGTATGTGGGAGCACAGGAGCTATACCTTAGCGATGCTTCAGTTTATTTTTTTTTAAAATACCCTTCCTTTGTTATTTTCAGCATTTTTCTGTCTCTACTTTTGCTCTACTATCTGTTGAAGTCGATGATGCTTAGGGTCTGAACTCCCCAACCGCCCTCATACCTGTGCCCTCCTGGAAAAGCTCACCCACACTATAGCTCCTCTTGCTGTGGCTTTTGTGTCAGCTCCCAGATCGCTGCTCCCAGGAGTGCTCTCTTCAGAGCCTTAACTCTGCATAGACCACTGCTCCTGGGCCTCTCTACTAGTATATTGCAGAGGTTCCCCCCTACAGAACTCTCCATCAGGCCCTTAGTCTCAGTTGGGGGTAGAAAGCTAGGGGCTTTTCTTCATTCAGACATCTGCTGGCTGCTAAGATGGACAAGCCCAAGATGAACAAGTAAAAAGGCACAGTCTTGATGTTACCAAACCACATGGCAGGCCATTAATTCAAGTCCATTGAAAGTCCCAGGGTCGGCATAGCATGACAGACTGCTAAACAATGGCTTGGTTGCATGCAGGGTTCAAACATGCCATAAGCTGGAGACCATTTCCACAGCTGCTTCTTATATATGGGAAGCAGATCACATCCCTAAAGCAGCTACTCAGCTGCTTGTGGTAGATTCTACTATGGAGCTGATTGCCCGTCTCATCATGGGGAGTAACTACCACCGGCTGCCTAGCCATTCAACCAGGCCCAGACAAGTAGGTACACAACCTTAACTACCACAATCTGTCACCCCTATCACTGCATGCTTGGATGATGGCTGGACATGCCTCCTACCTCCTCTCCTACCCTAGTGTTGCAACCTTATCTGCCCCCTGCCCCCTACATGTTCCATAACCAGTCTACCTCAGTTCTACCAAATTGAAAATGTGCTTCTGTTGCTTCAGCCTGCCCCACCTCCTTCAGTTTTCAGTTTCACCCCATTGTTATTAAGAGTCTCTAATTGGTGCAGATGTTAAAGTGCTAACTCAATGGTTAGAGGTTTGAGCCCACCCAGAAGCACCTTAGAGGAAAGACCTTAGGATGTACTTATGAAAAATCAGCCATGGACGACCATTTGGAGCAGAGTTTTAATCTGTCACATATGGGATAACCACGAGTTGGAGCTGACTCAGTGGCAACTGTTTTTTTTTTTTTTTTAATAAGTCATTGCTATTAGGGTAATTGACTTATAGTGAGCCAAACATTTACCCTGGTTTATAATGCCTGGATTAATCATCAAATGTGAAGGACCATGGTGAGATAGGAAGCTGAAGAAGTGAGCAGATGAGAGCCATCATATTTGCTATTTCTCTGCTCTCTGCTTCATCTCTAGACCATTTTCTTAGAGCCATGGAGGCCCTTCAGCGTCTGGAGCTCAGGTATTGCTGCTCTCCATGCTGAGCAGTTGGCAAACAAGGAGCAGGATGCGGGCTTCATACTTCAACAACCCAAACAATCTACTTGGGAGTTGTTTTGCCATCTCAAGGTTGAATCAGACACTCTGTCCTGTTGAAATATCACTATACAGACATGGTGTGGGACTCAGGGAAGCTAAGGCTAGCTAGGTTTTAGTGCCTGTGTATAACTATCTTGTATGATTTTTAAACTATCAGGTTAAATGGTAAACTTTTAGGGGCGTTTAGCTATTTTAAGAGGACAAAGTAGTAGTTAATATAAGAGAAACCGTTATTTTATAACTTGTCTGCATTATAACTTCATACTTTGACCTATTTAATTTTACTAAAATGATAAGCCTATTCCTGCGAAGGAAGTGTGCATTTATTCAGCAAGGACAGGAGGGAGTGCTGCCTGTCTCTTCATGCTCTAGGGTGAAAGGACGGAGGGATGGTGGTCATATTCAGACTCAGAAGGAGAGGGTGGTACTGATTCTTATCTGTTGGATCTTTTCCACAGAGTCCCTGTTATTTCTATGCCGGATTACATGGTATATGAAGAATTTAACCCTGATCAGGCCAATGGGAACTATGAGTCCAGAAGAGGGCCCTTTGACTTTGACATGAAAACAGTTTGGCAGAGGGAGGCTGAGGAACTTGAAAAGAAGAAAAAGGTGACATGAGCCTATGAGTAGATGACATTTGCCTTGTTTGTGCAACTCCTTACATAATCACATGATAATTTAGTGATAGCTAATAGTTTTCTAATGTTACTACTGGTATCCGTCCCATGGTCTCCATTTTAAACTTGAGTGTACTAGAGATGAGTGGCATGATAACATTGTTTTTCTTTTTCTTCTTATAAATCCTTACCTTATGAGGTAGCATAAGTTTTTACTAAATGTTTTTTTAACTAGTTAATGCTTATCAAGGGGAAATATTGACACACCACCTCTCACACGCTACATATAGAAATGGAATTTTTAATTTATTCATTATCCAGTTTATAAATATTTATGTCTTATTTAAGAACTTAAGTTAAAATTTCTATGGAGTACTCTTTATTTATTATGAAGGAAGAGAAGACAAATTGTTTTCTTCTATACAAACTTCCAAAGGTTTATTTACCATGAGGGAGCAATAACTAAGTTGAAGTCTTTTTAAGGGGTTTGTACTTTAACAGAGAAAATGGGAAATTCAGGAGCCATCTCTCATCAGTAGATTTCTTGGGGTGACATCTTGATTAGAAGAGCTTCCCATCCTCTTGCCTACTCTTCATGGTCTTACAGCCTGTTGGTGTGCCAAGGGTACAAAATTCAGGACACTAACACTGTTGCCGAAGAGTTCTCATGATCAGGCTTACTGGTATGATGGAGATCAGTGAATCTCCTGAGACTGTGTCTCCTACTCACCTTTTGGACCGGGAATAGAACTCACTCAAGTGGCTTCAAGCCAAAAAATAGATAGGCCTACAAGGTGAACAGTTACACCGGATAGAACATTTCTTAGAACAGTCAGCCACGGAAGATTAGAAGAGCTGCATTTGCATAAGGAGATAGCTCAGAGGGCAGGAATGCATAGGAAAGGACACAGGGAAAAGGTAGTCACAGGAAGGAAGTGGGAAGAGAGCTGTTACATTGTGGGTATTGCAATCAGTGTCACAAAACAAAATGTGTATGAACTGAGAATGGGAAAATAATTTGCTCTGTAAACTTTCACCCATATCACAATAAAAAACAAACCAAACTCACTGCCCTCCAGTTGATCCTAGTCAAATCTGAATCATAGTGACCCCTCCTTGGGTTTCTGAGGCGGCATCACCCTCACCTGCTATTAGCAGATGGAGGAGAGCCCAGTTCAGCATTGTCCTCTAGAGGTTCAAGAACTGAAGCTCTGAAATTCATTGTAGTTGCTAAGAAAACCTGATCTATGAGTGAAACATTGAAATTCATATTAAAAATAACAAAAGTATCTTGATAATGGTAACATGACAAACCACTATCCCTATTTGACATTTCAAGTGGTAAACAGATCATTTCAGATTGTGAAATGTTTATCATATGTTTATTAATGAGATTACTTTGAAGTTGCTGTCTATCCTTTTGCCAGTACCACCCTGTCTTGATTACTGTTGCTTTATAGTAAGTTTTTGATATCAGGTAGTATGTGTCCTCCAACTTTGTTCTCTTTCTAAATTGTTTTTGCTAATCTCTACCTCTCCATATAAATTTAGAATCAGCTTATCAATCCTTTAAAAACAAAACAAAACAAAAAAACCTACCAGGATTTTGATTGGAATTGCATTGAATCTATGTATCAGTTTGGGGAGAATTGAAATCATGCAATAAGGAATCTTCCGGTCCATAACCACTGTATATCTCAGTTTATTTAAGTCTTTTTATTTGTTTCATCAGTTTTATAGCTATCTATGTGTAAAGATCTTGAACATAGTTTGATTTTTGGTTTGTCTTTTCCTTTTTATATCTTGAGTTTTTTGTTTGTTTTGTTTTTAAATTAACTGGTAAAAGCTACTTTAAAGCCATCTTTAGAGGTCTTTCCCTCCCACCACCATGGCCCCCTTTGGCTGTAGTTTGAAGTATGCCTTCCATGCTGACTCCAGCTGCATTGCAAGTATAAAAGAGGTCTCTGTGGACCATTGTGTGAAGCAGCCACAGGAATTAAATGTTCTGAGAGAATTGAAGTGGCTCTGCCTCTGCAGTTATGAAAGCCTTCATGGTAATGGGGCATTAGCGCAGTTTTTCTTGGGATCTGCTAATGGTTCAAAAAGGAGAGATGACTTGTGATGTTAGAGTTTTCCTGAATTCTAAGATCTATTCTATATGTGTATACACACATACACACTCACAGCATCCATCAATTAACGTATGTTCAGGCATTGTCCAGTTGTATATATGTCCCTGGCTCCATAAGGTGTATTTTCTTTTTTAAATGGAAAACAGCTCTCCTTTTATTTCCCCCAGTTGTTTAAAAGACCCCAAAGCTCCCAGAGAGAATGAGCAGGAAGGCTCCAAGGGTGCATCCCCATCCCCACAGTGCCTCCTTCTCCACCTCCTTTTCTTCCTCCTGGCTTCATTTACCTGTCCAGCAGCTATGTAGCCTTTCACTCCTGGTGCAGGGAAGCACCTGCTCCTGTCTTGGACATGCTGCTTGGTCCTGGGCACTTGTGAGCTCCCAGCTCCAGGCAGCAGTGGTAGCGGCTCTACATGATCAGGAAGTAGCCACACCAACAGGGCACCAGCAGCCAAGGCAACTACTGCCAGTTGTGCTCCCAGCACCTGCACACCCAGGCCCTGTGGACATCTCCCTTCATGCCCCACCCTGTTCCCAGACATGGGCAAAATCCCAGTCTGGCTGCCAGTGCAGCCCCTGCCTGGGTCACACATATATGGGGCAAGGCCAGCCTCCTGTATCCAGTGTATACAGGTCTTGGGCTTTGTCCAGCAGTCTCCTATCAGATTTTAATGTAATAAGCATTATGGAAATTTAACTAAGAACTATATGTGGACTGCCTGTTTTTAATAACTAATATGGTGTTACCACAACATCCAAATTGCATAACATTCTATGTCACAGAGCATATTGTGGATGTTAAGTATGTATGTATGTATGTATGTATGTATGTGTTGTGGACAGGAGCACGATACTAGGGAGAGACACACTGAGGAAGAAGCCCTTGAAATTGTTATGCAATCAATGAACAGATGAACGACTGAGTCTTATTCAGAGTGGAGAAAGTAATGGAGGTCATACAGTTTAGTGACAGGAGTCTGGTGTGGGCAGCAACACGGTGGTGGAGATGAGAGTTCTCCTATTGCAGTACAGTGAAGCTATGGGGAAAACTGGCAGTACTCTGAATACTGACTAAAATGGCACACTGGTGCTGAGAACTCAGAGGCCAACCGGACTACTGCAGGCACTGAGACATGGGAATAAAAATAGCTTACAGTGAAATGAAAAGCAGCTTTTGTTGGAATGTGATGAACAACTTATAACAAGGACAGTGAGAAGCACAGATAACCTGGCAGTCCTGTGTACTCTGTTGGGGATTCTGGGGAGGAGATAAAAGCAAAAACATGAGCATTGCATACATGGGAGCTGTTTTGTACCATATGCTGAGCATGAGCATGTAGAGAATATCTGTCACAAATGGAATTGACTAGGAGTGTCTGAGTGCCTCTCAGTGGGAGACTAGTTACACATGTTGTTGTTATTTGCCATTGAGTTGGACCCGACTCATAGCGACCCCTCCTTGGTTTCCGAGGCAGTATCACTATGGAAGTATATTGCCCCATCTTCCTTCCGAGGAGTGGCTGGTGGGTTTGAACCACCAGCCTTCTGGTTAGCAGTCAAGTGCCTTAGGCACTATGCTACCAGAGCTTCTCACGTAAGATGGTTCATATCTCCTTCGGAACAGGATGCTTGTGTACTGAAAAAGGATAATGTGGGGTTTAGGGAAGAAGCTGCAGCACACCAGTATACCAGCGGTCACCCCACAGATCTACCTTCAGCACCTGCTTTTATCAGCAAACGTGGGTCTGCTGGGTGCGAGCGAGTACTTTTCTGGCTCCAGCAATGCTGAAATCTGAGCAGAGAGACCATTAATGCTGCAAGTGGGCGGTCCCTGGGAGGAATACCTGCAGCAGATTGCAGAAAGGGACAGTTGTCTTGAGCCAGCTTTTTGGCATGGAGAGGCCAGCACTTGCCTTGGTCGGTAAACTTGGGTCCACTGGGTGCGAGCAGACATTTCCCTGGCTCCAGCACCACTGAAACCCAAGCAGAGAGATTATTGGTGCTGCAAGTGGGCGGGCCCTGGGAGGAACTCCTGTGGTGGATCATGAAGTGGGGCTGTTGTCTTGGGTTGCCTTTTTGGCATGGAGGGCCTCGAGAGTGGGGTTTTTGCATGTGTCTGAACCAAGTGGAAAGTGGTGACCCCATAACAACTGGAGTCTTTGCTGAACTTGAGTTGCGGGCCAGTGAATAACAGTATAACGTCATCATTAGCAGCCCGCTCAAAGCCCTAGAAACCACCCCTGGCAACTTGAAGCTTCCCTTCCTTTTCTCTTCCCCTCCTACCTTCTCTGCCTATACCCTCACTCATCCAATAGAAAAATCATATTCAGTCACCATAATACCTACTGGCTCAAATTCTGAACCCTTTTTATGACAAATAGAGACCTACATCCACATTCCACACAGCAATTCTGTCATCACAAGGAAAACTGTAGGGCAACCCAGCACACCTGAATTAATAACCAAAAAAGGAAAATGCACGAGCTCTAACTTTTCAAAATACTAAATCATAAAACCAAGACAAAACAAAACAATGCATAACCGACAGTTAAAGACAACTTCAAAATGTCTAGGAAACAACAGCAATTTCAAATCAAACAAAAAAACAGGACAAGGCATTAGAAGCAAAACCCCAAACAAAGGTCTCATTAAACATGGAGGAAGAGGAGGCAATAGAATTATCTGAGAAGGAATTGAGAAGATATGTTTATAGAGCTTTGTAAGAGCCCAAGGAAACCCCAAACAGAAGCAAGGAGAACACAGACAGTTCCCTGGAAGAACTCAGGAAAATATTTAAGAACAAAATAACAAGATTAATGCACAAACAGAACTCATACAAAAGCATCAGTTACAAATACAGAAG